CATTGCTGTTATACAAAAATTTAAATAAACACGAACAAGGACGAATTTAGAGTTTAAATAACGTAAAATGACTTGTGAAATTTTTATTAATGGATCACTCGCTGATTTGTTATAACGAATGTTGGAACAATCGTTACACCGCACGAGAATGACGAAAATGTATGAAGAATAGAATCCTTCTGTGCAGGTATTGTAAATGTTCAAACGACCCACCCGAGAGCCTGCAAACATACTTTCTTACAATTATTGTAAGAATTCTTACATACTTACGCCTCGTGATTTTTAATCAATAGGAAATACATTAATTATATCAGTTGGATGACGGAGCGAGTAACAGATCAAATGCTAAATGTCAGGTAACATTTCGAGCGTGTATGAGTTAATTAAGCCGTGACTACCGTTGCGTTCACAGATGTTCTTCCACCACAGATGAACACAATTTTTTGCGCTTCTTGATTATAGCCATCTTCATAAAACTAGTCTGGATATTTATGACTAGCTTCTAAATTTATAGAATACTTGCTATTCTTGATATGAAGCAAGAAGGGTTTATTTTCACACAGTTGCGTATGCTGTTAAACAATTGAGATTGTATCAATTTCGTTTCATAAATTTTATTACAGAAAAAATTATTTGTAAACTGGCGTCAGTTTAATTGTGACGAAATACATCGCGAATAATATCTGAAAGGTGCCTAAAATAATATGTGCTCAATCTATCTGGGACCAGAACTATATTAGGAAGTAAAATTATTTTCCGATGTTGGATTTGCTATACGCACGTGTACCTCGATGGTCTTTGAAATTTAATGTTCGTGGTGATGTTGTGAGGTGTCAAGTTAATTATTAATCCAATTTAACACATTTTTATTGGTTTTTATAAACAAGGTATGGGTTTATATAGAATGTAAATGTGTGAAATAATCTTGAAACGAATCGTAAATTAGTTCCGTGCGGTTTATTGTTAGTCGAATTCGTTTTACCTTGTTATTCATGAGCTTTTAAGGAAGTGGCTTTTTTTACTGTTATTCAATCATATAAAATTTTTCAATGATAGTTAAGAGTGTTATGCAAACTAACGCTCCTACGTTTTTTAACAATAAATTTTCATTTAACAGATTATGCCTAAAATCTGAACAGCTAATTTTAGTTGTCAGCTCGTAGGACGATCGTCTTTGATGCAATAATGAGAATTTTTATTATAAAATCTTGCAAACCTTGGAACGCAATAAGCCCCATTTGCCAGAAAACACCATTCAAACTTCACTTTAAAATGTGAAGGAAAACTTAAATACCTATGTTCATAACCCAGGTAAAATATTGTTGCGGATATGCGCCTGCACGAGAGACCCAAATACTGTAAGAAGAAGACTTCAAACAAACATATAAGCCCTTCGGAAATGAAATCCGATAATTATTTTAACATGTTGAAATTTTGTCATCGTCTAGAATCTATTTAATTATACACGAATTTAGTTACTTTTTTTGCTTATAGTCACTTTGTAATATTAAGCCTTGAACCTCAAACTATACAATTTTCCTTCATTGCATCGAAAATTCATATTCCCGGAGAATGTTCGAGCACATAGCAGCAATGTACACAACTATTGGGAATTGTGTGAATGTCCTGTCAGTAAAGTGGAGAGCAGATCTCGCCTCTTGCCCCTGGTCATCTCAGGTCCAGATACGATTGTCCTGACAGCTCGATGGGTCTAGGGCCTAGAGCTCACTTTCAATAGAGAGTTCACTAGAGTTCAATAGTGTTCAACAATGTTCAATAGTGTTCAATATTGGCTATTGAAGACTATTGAAAACTATTGAACAATACTGTTGGCATAGGCATGTCCTAGATTCTAGATCTAGGGCATGCCTGGGCACGGTCTGTTTTGCACTGCGAGCGGCATAATATGACAGATCACGCAGCTCGACACTTGCGCTCTTACACAAATTCGCGAAAGAAAATAATTCCCTTATATAGATTGACAGATACAACACACTTACACACTCCATATTTTAAAAGAAATTGGCAAATAGCTAATAAATCTGGATTTCTCCGACAATGCTGTCTTCTCGGGCGTGATTTAATCACGAGAATTATGTTCAGCATTTTATCAGAAAAAAAAATAATTTGTGCGTTTGCTGCGTATAAATTTCGCTCTGATAGAAGATTTACACATTTGTACTATAGGGATTTTCTAATATGTAAAATGTATATGTCGTACCGAAATCGCAGCCAGTTTGCAGAAGCTGTAGAATCAGCATTTCGTTGATGATTCAGAAAATAGGACGTTAGAGTTAGAGTTGGAACATAAATCGACAGTTAGAGTTAGAAAAGGTTAGGTCAAGTTCGGTCAAGCTCTTTTAAATTTTAATATTCATAAAAAAACATGTCTGACCGACCTAACCCCAGATTCCTATATAGTATACTATAGATAGAAATGCTGATTCACAGTTTCGGCAAACTGGCTGCCGATTCCATAGAATCGGCAATTCCGCGATTTCGGCACGACATATATAAAATAAAAGTAACAATTTTAATACAGTTTATTGCCCACATATATTAAGCAATAAAATTTTCGATTTGAATTAATGAACGGAACTTTGAATCAAATTAATCATTGCATGAAAAAGTAAAGTCTCTGTATGGATGCACGACACGCCTTTAAGGAGCAGGGTAAACTTCAATTGCATATTATAAGCCTCACGGTAATCTTTACGAACCACGACGTATACCACAGTCATCTCTACACGCCATCCTATATAACATAGTGATCTATACATATAAGGAATATGCCTCATGCCGTATAACAAAATGGTAATCCATACACATTTTGTCGCTTGACTCATAGTAATCAATTCTCGCTATGTTGTTATATACCATACGGTAATCCATGCAATTCTTATTGTATAACATACGGTAATCCATACACGCCATGCAAAACACAGGACTTCATACACGTCAGCTCGTACTATACACGGTAATCCATGCACGTCAGCTCGTACTACACACAGTAATCCACAAGGTGTATAACACTCAGTAACACAGGACACGTCGTGTATTAGAACAATCAGCGAATATTACGATGATGTCAGAACGCTGCGGTCAAGATATATCCCCTGGGATACTGCTTCAACTATGCACTGTTATCACCATGACTTACCGCGGCCTCCGCCACGCATTCCGAAAATGTGACTTATGCTCATTTGCTCGTGAGTCTCGATAATGTAGCAGGAATAAGGGTGATGGTGACCGCAGTACTTTCAATTCTAGCACAATTGATTCTCTTGCTTACGGGCCTCAGGATTCTCTCGCTGACTGGTTGCAGGCAACGAATTTAGAGAGAATAACGCGATGTGATTCGCAATGCAACATCATCACTGCACGAACAAGTCCGCATGAGGTGGATTTTGACTATTAATATGTTAAATATTTAATAAGTCCATCGGGTAGGACCCAAAAATGAACGGACTTCACAATTCATGATGGCGAAAAATTGGCATAATTTTCATTCCAACCTCTCACGTCTGATGATCTTTCATCTCTCTCGTCTCTCGCCTCATTTACCGTATAATTGCTGCACATTTTTTTTCAATATAGGTGCGGAACTCCATAAAAATTTATTAATTACGATGCGAATGTTTTGCCGCAAATAAATGAAGGAAAAATCCTCAAAATTATGAATTCGACATTCCCATAAATGTATAATCTTGATTATTATGCGCCTTCTCGACGTAATACCATTACAGTTGCAGAGCTTAAATTTGTTCATACCAACAAGATTAGAACTACCGGGCCTGGATCAGGTTTTTTCCAAATTACCATGAGCTTTATTGGAAATTTCTGCCCAAATGCAGAGCCACCGATTGGTGGCGCTATATAGTAATTATGTGTAACAATTATTATCTGGAAATAAATCATTTATTTAAACTGTGACAGGATTTATGGTAACAATTAACAAAGCAATCGCATTTTTCTTAATTAATATACTGCACGGTTGAACTTCTGAGTAACAAATACCTGTATTACAGATACGAATATAGTCGAGAGACGGATTAATATTTTGGAATCGCGTAAGACATTCTTTGGACGATTAGGAAATTAAGAACATAAGTGAAACTTTAGATGTTGATCAATGATGATTACGAAGCTGCTTATTTGTTGGATATTCATCTCTCCTGCGACTAGGCCATCTTTTTTAATTTCGTCGTCGCATAGCCATTTGAAAAGAAATGAAGCTTTGTAATTTATTCCATATGTTATGCTTCATTTTTTTAATATAGAATGTAGGATTAAGGTATCTTGGAATAACAAGTGAGCTAAATTTTCCCATTTGCCTTGGACCTTTTGCTTTTTTAACATCCAGTGACTCTCATCATGGATATTAAAATTCATAGACCCATTAGACTGCTTCATAAAAATTGTTGAATATATAGTGTATACGTACATGAGAAAAATCTTCTCTGCAGAGCATTCTACCAAATCATCATATGAATGCTGAGTTAGAAATCGTATTTATTAGCCGAACTATTCTAATGTTATTTTTTTCTGGCTTGATCCGAGAATGAGGGCATGAACCGCCAAAACTTGGAAGGGCGGAGCGTCCTCCGCGCGAAGGTCACCACGCGGCTATATAAGGCGCTCACCTGCCATCAGCAACTTTCCACGAAACACTCGCGATACACATATCCCAAAAACACACCATAGACATAGTGCTCCGTGATGTGACCAAGGCCTTCGACAAGGTCTGGCACACCGGTCTCCAATACAAACTAATGCAGCTCAACCTCCATCCCTGTTTTACAAAAACACTAGCAAACTACCTCACAAATAGAACAGCGTCGATCAGAATAGGACACCACATAGGTCCCCCCCTACATTTGCACACTGGCGTCCCACAAGGAGCCTGTCTTTCACCCACCCTATATAGCTTCTACACCCACGACCTTCCACCACCACCTGTCTCTTATACACATCTAGATGTGTATAAGAGACAGCCCCAACCCCATGAAAAACCCAAAGCACCATAACTCAACCTAGTTATGCGCATTGCGCCTATTTCGTCTTCTACTGTTACTTCCTTTTCTCCTTCATCTTTCTGGCCACTCTGTGCCACCTCTTGTTTTTTCTCCAATTTTTCTAGTGGCACCGCACCACCAGCACATCATATCGCATCGTCCTCTACCACTGGCAACATGAAGCTCCCGGTAAGTATATCTCCCAGTCTGCATTATTTGGCTATGCTTAGAAATTTGGTCATTAATAATTTATTGTGATTACAAGTTTTAGCTATGTTCAAATAATAGTTTCTTAAAACAAATGGTAAACCTGATTTGAACGATGACTGCTCAAAAATTTGTGATTTATATTGAGGCAATTTTGATTAAAAAATTGTAGGCAGACCATAATTAGATCTTATATCGATGCATTTCCAGAATGTTGTCTGCAAGTCATTCACAATAACATTTTCGCTGCAAAATTCAGCGCTTATTGATACTATAAAATTATTCTCAACGAAAGTGTACACCTTCTTGTTCAATACTTATGGTCGATGGTTGAGGATCATTTTCGTGCCAGCATTGAATCTTTATTAAGATCATCATGCACGATACTCTTGTGTGTAGAGTTTTCCTTCCCAATTTATTTAACGAGGCTTGCCAATATAACCGTATGATCTGTTAATGCACTAGAAATCTTATTGCATTTTTGCTTACGATAATTTTCGAGATTTCTTCATAATTATACAAATTTTGTTAATTTCGTCAAATAAAATGAAACAAGAATAAACTTATAGTTTTCATTCTATGTAACTAGGAACACACATTCATTTTTAACATGCTTTTCATGTAGATATTTCAGCCTAGTTGTATAACAATTAATAAAATTTTCTTTCAAGTTGAAGAGTCAGAAACATAAATTTAGTATTCGAAATAATGATAAACTGATACAAAAAAATCCTGAATTTTAGTTACTGAGAAATTTACCTTCAACAATCTTGATGCCCTGAAAAGATGTCTCAGATTTTTTCGTACTGATCTGTTTACGACGTTAAAATCACGAATCCTATTAGAAAGCTAAATCCGATCAAAACTGCCTAGCTTTTTTCTGTACGTTAAACCCGCCCACCATACAGCCTCTTCGAGGATTGGATCTCCCTAGTAATTCAAAGTAAATTACTACTTTTCTATAGATGAAATTATATGTAACAAATCCGCATATTGTGACGGAAATTATATGTAACAATTCGCATATTATGACGGAAATTATATGAAAAAAATCCTCATATTATGACGAAAATTGTTTTCTCAGCTGTTCGCCGTTGCGCTGCTGGCGCTCGTCGCCGTCGCCTTCGCTGAACCCGAACCCGAACCCTGGGGAGGTGGATTCCGTGGTGGATACGGTGGCGGATTCGGTGGTTTTAGAGGAGGCTATGGATTTGGCCGCAAGAAGCGTTCTGCTGACCCTGAGCCCGAGCCTGAAGCCCTGCACTGGGGCGGAGGATTGCGTGAAGGATACGGTGGTGGATTTGGTGGATTCCGTGCTGGATTCCATAGTGATGGATTCGGTGGTTCCGGTGGTCGTGGATTCGGTGGTGGCGCATTCGGTGGTGGTAGATTCGGTGCTGGTGGAGTCGGTGGTGTTGGATCCTTAGGCAACGGAAACGGCGTCGAGAAGCTCTCTGCTGACACTGAGCCCGAGCCTGAAGCCCTGCTGGTGGATTTGGTGGATTTCGTGGAGGATTTGGAGGATTCAGAGGAGGCTACGGTGGATTCAGGTGACCGGAGGCTACGGTGACCACTAGGTTCAATAGTCACTAGGAGTGTTCCACTAGGGCTACTTGAATATTGAAATATATGGTAACAGACATGTAGGTGTTTTTATTTGTTCTTTACTACTACCTTTAATAAATGAGAACGAATTGGCTGTGAGTCGACTAGTTATTGTATTTATTGTCAACTCCATTTAACTGAATTCGATTCGCACTTTTCAGTCAGGTTTTTATTATTCAGGTATACATTTCCTACGGACATGCATCATCTTTCCAATAAAACTTCGTAAATAAAGCATTAGAAGCTATATATTTGAATAATCGAACTTACGTTAACTTTTCTCGTGACTTAAGCTCAATTTGATATGTGCATGAATGTAAAATTTACCCAGACTCAACTTAGGCCTCTAAATTTCAGTGGTTCGCGAGAAGCAAGTTTAAGCTCTTCTGAGACTCAATTCCAACCTTACAGTTTTTAGTAATGGAGCTTACGTCGGAAGCTTCTATGTAGCTCTTTTGTGTTGCATTTCTAGCGTTATAGGAAATACGAAACATTTTTTGTAATTATTTATTGTGCGAAAAGTGTTCACCTGGATTTTTCCTGACGAAAGAGATAAGCTGCAAACGGTAATATCCATCAGATGTTCAGTGTTAGGCTGTTACTCGACAGGCCTTTTATTTTATTTTATTTTATTATTAGTATCTAACGGTTAATATTGGATCAGCGCCACGATTCATTAGTCATTTAAATATTTCATATAATAAACAAGCTCTATCCTGTTAGGATTATCCAGAAACCAGGACGTGAGAATATTCTATTTTCAAATACACTGTACATCTGCTAAAATATGACTTTTTCTTAGAAGAATTGTTAAAATATAAGGCATAAGTATTCAAGTGGAGACGGTTGATACACCAATTAACACCGATACCTTGGGCTGTCGCTAAGCGATCGTCGACTTATGAATCATTTTGTTCCGTTCAGAACAGGCAATTGCTTAGGGCCCTTCATTTTCTTGGTCTTGTTTTTTGAGGTCCATCTTTTATCTAAGTAAACAAAATGCGTAAGGTAGGCAAAAAAATTCTGAAAACGCTCTAAACCCACTTAAATAAAGCAGAGGAGTTTGTAAAAGTCATCTAGAACGGATCGAATTCAAACTTTTCGTCGAATTAAATTCCGCGACTAGAGTCTGACTAAGTTGAGTCCCAAGCCAGTCGATCATAGTAGTGATCCAGTCTACTTTTATGTTAACTTTATTTATTTGCATGAACAATGTCTAAAGTTCAAGCCTCACAAAACAATTGAAAATTAGTTTTGATGAAAGATAATTAGTATCCTATCATAAAATTTTTAAGTATATTCACATTTTTTATGAGACCGATTTCCTGTATTTTTTATCGAACAAATTATTGCTGTTTCAGACTATGTGAAAGTTTACCTCATTTTACCTTGGCTTCACGTTTCTACCTAAAAATTAAAATATATCATAATATAGTAGAAAATGTATTAGAATGGGAGTGAAGCAGAAGGTTACAGTTTAGAATTTATTTTTTGGCCAATTGGATATCGCCAGCAGCACGTCGAGTTAGGATAGTTCATTTTCCGTAGCCATATATTTTAGCCTCCACGGAATCCGCCAATAAGCTAACTGCCGAAACCAAGAATAAATAATTATGTTAATGAACAAAAAATAATACCACTGATTGAAAATTCCTCCAGTGGGGACGAGAATACAAAAGCTTGACATGAATAATTTACATTATCCGAATGAGTAGCAAAGCTTACATTTGTTCATACCGGGAAAATTAGAAATTTTGAGCCTGGATCAGGCTGCTTTCCAATTTACCATTAGCTTTATTGAAAATTTCTAAACGGATGCAGCGCCACGGATGTTATTATCCTGTAAAAAATTATTTATTTACAACTTTGACTTAAATTCGTGGTAACGCTTAACAAAGAGATCGCATTTTAGTAATTATTAAACTGCAGTCTTGAACTTATGAATAATAAATATTACAGACACGAATATAGTCGAGAGACAGATCAATATTTTGGAATCACGTAAGACATTCTTTTGAAGATTATGAAATTAAAGATATAATAAAACCTTAGATGTAGAGCAATTGATGATTACGAAGCCACTTTATAATACGAAGCCATACTGTGCGATTCTAAATAATTAATTCCATACCTCCACCCACAGACCCAGCCAACTTCATCAAACACATACACACACACCTAATCCGGAACGCACTCTTAAATCTAACAATCAACAGCATCGTTGACGACACACCAACAAACATCAGCCAAACAGAGCAGCAGTTGAGCCGTGCAGACAGGGTGCACCTCAGCAGACTTCGCTGTGGTCACTCTCCTTCATCATACTATTACAAACACCGCCTGGACAGCACTCAAACGGACCTGTGCCCCCAATGTCATGCACTCCCCCACACCGTCAAGCATCTTCTGCTTGAGTGTCCGGAGCTGGCAGCACCCAGGCTCCGGGCAGGCATAACATCCATCGCACAGCTGTGGTCCGAGCCCGGCTCGGGTGGCGGCTTTCTTGCGCAGCGCGGGCTTCCTGGCGTGACCGGGACTCTGGGAACATCAACAACAACAACGAAGCCACTTGGTTGCTGTATATTTATATCTTCTGTGACTAGGACATCTTTATTTAATTTTGTCGTAGTATCGCCATTTACAAGGAATTGAAGCTGTGCGATGTACTTCTTACGTTATGCTTCATTTCGTTTTATTATCGAATGTAGAATTAAAGCGTCATGGAAAAACACGTAGGCGAATTTCGTCCCATTTAACTTGGAACTTTGGCTTTTAAAATCCAGTAACTCACATCATGGATATTAAAATGCACTTACTCATTCGACTGCTTCAGAAAAAAATGTTGAATAGTGTATACATAAGAAAAAAACTGTACCTACATAGCATTCTACTCAATTAGCATTTGAATGCTGAGTTAAAAATCGTATCCATTATCCGAACTATTCGAATTTTATTGTTGATCCGAGAATGAGGAGAAGAACCGCAAGAACCTGGGTCCAAATCGTGGAGGTCACCAAAACCGGCTATATAAGGCGCTCACCTGCCATCTTCGCATCATATCGCATCGTCCTCTACCACTGGCAACATGAAGCTCCCGGTAAGCAACTCCCATGCAGTCTGCATTATTTGGCTATGCATAGAAATTTGGTCATTGTAATTACAGGTATTATCTATGTTCAAAAAATTAGTTTCTTAATATAATGGTAAACCTGACTTAGAGGATGACAGCTCAATACATTCGTGGTTTCCATTGAGACAATTTTGATTATAAAATTGTAGGTAGACCATAATTAGATCTCATTGCGACACATTTTCAGAATGTTGTCTGTAATTCATTCATAATAATATTTTCCGTGTGAAATTGAACGCTTGATACTATAAAATTAATTATCACGAAAGTGTACACTTTATCGTTCAATAGGACTTATGGTCGATGCTTGAGGATCATTTTCTTGCCAGCATTGAAATTTTATTAAGATCATCATGCACGATACTCTTGTGTGTAGACTTTTCCTTCCCAATTTATTTAACGAGGTTGCCAATCTAACCGTATGGTGGATCTGTTTATGCGCTAGAAAATTTATTGCATTTCTACTTACGGCAAACTTGGATATTTATTCATATTTATACGAATTTCGATATTTTCGTCAAGTGAAATGAAGCAAAAATATACTTATAGTTTACTCTCTATGTAACGTGTAACACGCACTCATTCTTAATATGCTTTTCATGTTGATAATTCAGCCTAATGGGGTAATAATGAATAAAATTTTCTTTATGTTGAAGGGTCAGAAACATAAATTTAGTATTTGAAACAATGATATGATATGATAAAAAAAATCCTAAATTTCAAGTACTATGAAATTTCCCATCAACTATCTTGATGCCCCGAAAAAATGTCTCAGATTTTTTCGTACTGAAAATTGCATCAGTTCACGAGGTTCAAAATCACGAATTCTACTAAAAAGTTGAATTCCGTCAAAAACTGCCTCTCTTTCCACTGTATACGCTAAACCAGCCTACAAAACAGCCTATTCGAGGATGGGATCTCCCTAGTAATTCAGAGTAAATTTACTATTTTTCTTTTATTTGAAATTATATGTATTATATCCGCATTATATGACGGAAATCATATGCTACAAATCCGTATATTATGACGGAAATTATATGTAATTAATACGTATATTATGACGGAAATTATATGTAACAAATCCGCATATTATGACGGAAATTATATGTAACAAATCCGTATATTATGACGGAAATTATATGTAACTAATCCGCATATTATGACGGAAATTATATGTAACAAATCCGTATATTATGACGGAAATTATATGTAACAAATCCGTATATTATGATGGAAATTTTTTTTCAGCTCTTCGCCGTCGCGCTGCTGGCGCTCGTCGCCGTCGCTTTCGCTGAACCCGAACCCGAACCCTGGAGAGGTGGATTCCGTGGTGGATACGGAGGAGGATTTGGTGGATTCGGTGGCGGATTCGGTGGTTTTAGAGGAGGCTATGGATATGGCCGCAAGAAGCGTGCTGCTGAACCTGAAGCCCTGGCTGAAGCTTACCCCGAGCCTGAAGCTCTGCCATGGGGTGGTGGATTCCGTGGTGGATACGGTGGAGGATTTGGTGGATTCCGTGGTGGATTTGGTGGTGGTGGATTCGGAGGCTACGGATACGGCCGCAAGAAGCGATCTGCTGACCCTGAGCCCGAGCCTGAAGCCCTGCCCTGGCGTGGTGGATTCCGTGGAGGATACGGTGGTGAATTTGGAGGATTCGGAGGAGGCTTCGGAGGATTCCGTGGTGGTTATGGATATGGAAAGTAGATATTGGAAGGACGGCTAAACAAATTTTATCGTTATTCGTCAACTGGCTAAATGGATACCCTGTACCTGCGATAATAAATGAAAAATTAACAGATGTGTTTTCATTTAAAATCCCCGGGTTTACCTGCACATTTTGGTTCACCAACATGCATTGTAATAGACCAATAAACAAAGTTGTCAATTTATGCATGGTTGGTGATATAGAATTCTATGTTAGTAAACTTATAGTATTTTTTGAAAAGTTTGAGAATCGGCAAGTAGTCATGTAGAGCAAATCTAATCACGTCCTACAACTTACAAGTCATATCGAGTAATGAGGCAAAATTCCGATTAACTAGCGGAATTTAAACAAAAAGATGCCCGAGTAACTCGTACTCCATCTCTGCAAAATACAGGTTTTCAGGAAAATTTAATTGGAACAGATCCAGCAAAATGTTCCAAGTGGAACTCCACTTAACTAATTAAATCCAGTTTATAATAACAGTGAAATTAAGACTAATTGAATCTAGAGTATGCCCAAGAACTAAAATTATCCAATATCTATGAAACGAAAACGAGAAAGATTCTTCTCCAGAGGTTCGATTATGCGTCTTTGTTTGTAAATGCGGATTTGTTTGTAGCAGACACAATTCTGTTTGATATGGCCGGTGTATCAGAGCATTATTTAATCATAAATTAAAATACGGCAGTTATTCCGTTCGTGAGATTTTAACGAGATTAGTTGCTTCTTGGCTCAGAAGTTTGCCTGCGTGTTCAGTATTTCTCACTTCCATCCCTCCGTTAATTTGTCTTTCTTGCGTTATTTTCACACGGAGGGGACAAATTTTAAATATAAATGTGGAGGCTTGTCTTATTACATTAAATTCGTATGATAATTAATTTCGATTAATTCGAGCCCTAACAAAGAAAAATCTCCAACATTTATCTAGTAATTTCAGAAGAAGTAGAGAAGACTGGGTAGCCTACGTATTTTCTGTATCAGCATCCACACACAGGTGTTTCACTAGGGCTACATGAATATTGAAATCTATGGTACTTATATTATAAGTACCATAGTAATAAGTACTTATATTATAAGTCTGTTTATATCGCTAGTTCACATGAAATTTAAAAGCAAAGAAAACGCCAAGCAAATTCACCATATCGATATTGAAAACGTTTCGGAGTCCAGCTCCATCATCGGTTCGACAATCTAAAAATGAAGTCAATCATATTGTATTCATTTTTAGATTGTCGAACTGATGATAGAGCTGGACTCCGAAACGTTTTCAATTTCGACATGGCAATAGACATGTAAGTTTTTTATTAGTTCTATATTACTACCTTCAATAACTGAGAACGAATAGGCTGCGAGTTGACTATTTATTGCCAACATCGTTTTAAACTAAATACGATGCGCACTATTCAGTCAGGTTTTTATTATTCAGGTATAAATTTTTCACGTGCATGCTTCATCTTTTCAATAGAACTTTGTAAATACAGCATTAGAAGCTATATATCATAATAATCAAATTACATTAACTATTTTCGTGACGTTAGCTCAAGTTGATAAATACGTAAGATTTCTCCAAACTCAATTTAGGCCATAAAATTAATTCCAACCTTATAGTTTTAATAAAATTCCAACCTTAAAGTTTTAATAAAATTCCAACCTTAAAGTTTTAAATAATGGAGTTTACGTCGGAAGCTTATAGGTGGCCGTTTTGTTTTCCCATCAGTCATTGTGTTCATGTCGGCCACGCAACAAGTGTGAAACTCATTTCTAGCGTTGCAAAATATAGGTACGAAACATTTTTTTGCAATTATTTATTCAGGAAAAAGTGCTTACCTGGGTTTTTCTTGACGAAAGAGATGAACTGCAAATGGTATTATCCATCAAATCTTCAGTGTTAGGCTGTTTCTCGACAGGCATTTTATTTTGTATGTATTATTAGGATCTAATGGTCAATATTGGACCAGCGCTACGATTCATTAGTAATTTGGGATTTGGCATATAATCAACAAGGGATATCCTTCCAGGATTATCATGAGACCAAGACGTGAGAAAATTTCAATTTCAAATAGAATGTACATTTGCTACTATATGACTTTTTCTCAGTAGAATTGATGGAATATAAAGCAAGTGGTAAAGTATTCAAATAGAGACGGCTGATATCCCAATTAAAACCGATACCTTGGAGAAGACGTTAAGCGAAGGTCGACTTCTGAATCATTATGTCCCGTTCAGAACATATAATTGCATGAGGAGCATAATTTTCATTTGTTTGGTTTCTTGAGGTCCACCTTGCATTCAAGTACACATGTAGTGTAAAATACGCAAAAAAATATTCTGAAAACGCTCTAATTCCACTCAAATAACACAGAGGAGTTTTTGTATATGTCATCAAGAGCGGATTGAATTCAAACTTTTCGTCGACTTGACTTCCGCGACTAGAGTTTTCCAAAATTTAATGTCAACTTCAACTAAGTCAAGTTCCAAGACAGTCGACTAGTAGGGTTCCATTCTACTTCGGTGTTAAGTCTATTTATTTCCATGAACAATCTCTAGAATCCAAACCTCACTAAACAATTGAAGATTAGCTTTGATAAAAGATAATTTGTATACTATCTTACAATTTTCAAATAAATATAATTTTTTATAAGAGCCATTTGTAATTTTGATCAAACAAATTATTGCCGTTTCAGAGTATGTGAAAGTTAACGACATTTTACCATGGCTTCACGTTTCTACTTGAAAATAAAAAAGATATCCATAATATAGTAGAAAATGTATAGAATGAGAGTGAAACAGAATGTTTATAGTATAGAATGAATTTATTGTCCAATTGAGTATCGCCGGTAGCACGCCGAGGTAGGATGGTCTATTTTCAGTGGCCATAGCCTTCACGGAATTCGCAAAAGCCTCCTCCGAATCCACCACCAAATCTACTGCCAAAACCACCGTATCCACCGCGACCTCTTCATGGTAGAGCTGTGTGCTTTGAATCAGGTTCAGTAGAGCGCTTCTTATTGCGGCCATATCCATGGCCTCAGAAATCGCCACCGAATCCACTACGGAATCCACCAAATCCTTCACCGTAACCTCCACGGAATCCACCTCCCCAGGATTGGGGTTGGAGTTTAGCGAAGGCGATTGCGCCGAGTGCCAGCAGCGCGACGACGAGGAGCTGTGGCGGGTGGAAGAATTTTTACTCTTCTTTATTATTTATTCAGTACATAACACGTAACAAATGAACAGAAGCATCAAAGAAGTGACAAAAATATTTCCTAGTGAATGCTCGTACAAGCCAAACAGCTTCGCGGGCGACAATTGGACCGGCGAAAAAGGCGGTCCAAAACTATTAAATGATAACGAGATAATGACAAGAAAAAAAAGTAATGTCAACAAATTCATACTATTAACTAGCTACTCAAAAAAACTACAGTCAGTAGGTCACTAAAAAAGTAAACTTAGCTCATGTAGCACTAATGAAACCTATATAAAAATCAACATGAAATTAATACTGAGTAAGAACATAATCACGGCATTTTGTTTTTAAAAAGGAATTTGGAATGATTTTTTTAAATGGTCCGGCAAGTCATTAAAATATTTTACGCAATAGATAACTGTAGCGTGGTTTTCTATTTCCAAGCGAACTGGCGGTAAATTAAGGTGTCTGCCTCTGTTATTATGGGTTTGGCGAGGAACGATATATTGTTGATATATCTAACCATAAGGATTGATCGTAGCGGCTTATTAATTAACGTGGCAACTGGTTTCTTAGCATTGACAGGTACACTACCCCATATTACTAATGTGTTTGAAAGTTTAGATGAATAAATAAATCAAACGCGTTTTCAATGAGGAGAAAAGTAAGAGTCTGGATAGAGCATGTAGCACCCTGTGTGCTTTACTGAGCCCTTGACAAACGTAGTAGGTAATGTGTTTTTTAAAAGAAATATTGTTGCCGAGGATTAAGCCCATATACCGAAAATCTTCGACCCAATCTAAAATTTTCCCATTGAAGGTGATGTTCCGAAAAACTGAAACTGATTTCGGAGTAAAAAGTATCAGTTTAGTTTCATCAGTGCGCGCCACAAATTTGTTGTCTAATAGCCACTCCGACAAATTCACTGACAGCTGCGATATACCATCACACGCGTCATGGTAGGTACTTCTTGAGATATAAATAAAATACTTAAAAAAAACTTAAAAAAACACGTTTTTCTTGTGGACTTAAACGTGTGTCGGGCAGATTTATGATTAAAGCGAAAAGCACACAACACACGAATTTTGGAAATTTGATGGTGAACGTACAGCCCGACCCACGTTTTTTTGGGGCGAGCCATAATTTATTTTCTATTTTTAAGTCCACAAGCAAAACGTGCTTTTTTAAGTATTTTATTTTCTACTTTTTAGTCCACAAGAAAAACGATTAAGACTTGATTAAGTATGACTTGACGTACGTATCGATGATACGCAGCGTCAGCGCCTGTTCGTCTATAACGTGAGCGCCCGCACGTCATACTATATATATAGTATATATACTTTACTCAATTAGGCTAATTTAGGTCTCTAATTGCTAGTTTTTATGATTGTATCTGAAATTGTTAGGCGAAAATTGCCTGCATGCCGAATTTCAGATCTCTAGAGCAATCAGAAGTGGGCTAATTTTCGTTGTCAATGTTAACAACAAACAAACAAACGCGAAGCTGAGTAAAGAAAAACGTGTTAATAAAAACAGCGTCATCAGCAAAAAGCTTGCAGTTCAAGTTAAAAGAAGAGGCGATATCACTTATAAAAATTTTAAAGAAAAGAAGCCCAAGAACAGAGCCCTGTGCCACTGCAATCGTGATCGGTCTAATGGGTGTTTTGAACTCGTTCAATAGTTCTCTATTGGTTACATATGACTGAATTAATGAATGAAAAGGCCCCATGCATGATGCCATAACGGTAGAGTTTACTTATGAGGATTTGATGGTTTAAGTAATCGAAGGTTTTTGGCAAATCGATGAAAAGGGCAACACAGTAAGTAGTTTTTTGCATGGAATGACATAAGTAGGTCTTGGACTAGACAGAATATTGCCATAGTCGTGTTAGTGCCCTTAGGGA